GAAGATCTAGAAACATACATACAAACATATGGAATTTTTTTTCCTTTCTTTTAAGATGGGTCTCACTAGTTCAGGCTGGGCTTGAACTCCCGGTGCTCCCTCATACATGACCAAGTGCTGAGATTTCTGGTATATGCCACCATATCTAGCTAAACATGCAGAATTTACTCCCCGTAAGTGCCAGTAGTCATGGCATTTGAAGCCAATGTTGAGCAACTGTTTAACTATACTGAGTACAGCTGAAGACCACACTCCTTAAAATGTATAATTTGGTATGTTTTGTCACGCACCTCCACCCACAAAACTACTGCCACAGTCCAGATGCCAAAAGCTTCCTGTGTTCCTTGGTAGAACCTCCTTCGTATCATTTTCCATCCAACTTTCCCCATCCCACCGGCCCATAATCTACTTCCTGACACACTGAAGCCTGTTCTAGACTTTCATATAAATGGAATTATGCAGAGTGTTCTCTTTTGCTTCTTTCATTCAGGAAGGAGAGGAAGAGAGGCAGGAAATGGAGGGAGGGAAGAAGGTAGGGAAGGAAAACCATTCACTCTCCCTCCACTAGCAGCCATCCACTGTCAGTGACCCCTCAGCTAAGGATGAGAGCCGTTGAGCCCCCTTTGACCCTCCAACCTAGACTGCATTCATCTAATGCAGGTCTTGTGTGGATAACCAAAACTGCTGCGTATTCATGAGTACAGTGTATTTTCATATCCATGATTAGCCCTAGTGCCCCGCCCTCGGACTTGTACACTCTCCCAACTCCTCTTCACAGTTTTCTGCGTCTGAGAGGAAGGGGAATGATACAGATGCCCCATTGCTAGCTGAGCACTCCAGAGATTTACCCTCTGCGCTTTGACTAGTTGTGAGTTTCTGCATTAACCACCACCCATCCCACAAAGGTGCTTCTCTGACAAGAGCTGAGATCTGCACTAATCGATGGGCATAGTTATGTTTAAAGAGCAGTTTGATATCATCCATTTAGCATCAACATGAGAAGCAGCTTCACCCCTAAGGCTTACGAGCTTCTCAACTGTTGGTTAGATCTGCAGTACGAGAAAGAACAGGGTCCTAGGTCTGAGTGACTATCTCACGGCTTAGAGACAGGTGTCGTAAAGATCAACAATTGCCTACACTGAGGCTCTTCACGGTCACACCTGTTTATGCCACGTTGCCTCAAGAACCTGCCATGACACTCAGCTGTGTCAGGATTTTGATAACGGGAGGAGACAACTGCCAATAGAGTATCACAAACCAGCCATGTGTATCTTTATTTATTTAATGTGTATACGTGGATCACATGCATACAGGTGCCCAGAGAGGCTAAGAGAGGGTGTTAGAACCCTTTGGGCTACAGTTAGAGACAGTTGTGAACTGCCTGACGTGGGTGTGGGAACCAAAGCCAGGACTCATGAGCAGCGAGTACTAATCGCTCAGCGATCCCTCCAGCTCTCTTTTTGTATCCTGTTCATTTTCGTTGTTATCCCATCAAATGATATTCATGCCTTTAATTTCTTCTGACCTTCTCAATATGGATGACAACCACCCTTTTGTTTTCACTTGTTTTTCTTTTAATTCACAGAGCTTAGCTAAGTAAGTTCAGAGAAAATGCAAGATTCGTGCAAGTTTGGGTTCTAACTTAAACCAGATTTTTGGCAAGGACTTTAAGCTGCTTAATTTCTAAGTGCAATTTGCTACAGAGGTAAGATTCCCTGTTGCAATCACATCTTTCTGTGTCATTATTAACCAGATTAATATTTGAAAATTCGTTCTTAATGAAGTGTTGTGTAAAGATTAATCAATTTGTGTGCATGAATGCTTTGTGCTCACTATAACATTTTAATATAATATTAGAATTCTCCCATGTATGTTTTGAACATCCAGTGTTACCTTCATCACCCATCAAGGGACTTTCCCAAGGTATCATGCCCAATTAACGTATGTTATTTTACATGAACCCATGGGTATATTATAAAAAGAAAAACAATACAGTGAACAAAATGTGGCTTATATCTTATGTTCAAGTTTCTTCTTTTTTGTGATTTACTTTCTTACCTAATCTCATAGACACAGAAAATATGAATGTTCCTTTCACTTACAGCAAAATATTACTTAGAAACTTTGTAATTCTTTTTTGGTTGATGTTCTTGTTTGTTTTAAGAACTGGCTCTCCCTAGTGGGAGCCTGAGCCTTTACCTTCATCAGCATACCCGTTTCTGTCTATAGGCCTACCTCTCTGTGGCCCATGTATCTATAATGTCTTAACTGATTTTTAAAAAATGTAATGGCTCTTCTTTGATTGCATTTAAACCCTATTATTTAAAATGTTAATATTGCCTGAAGGTCATTATTCATTCATCCTCCATGTCTTTAATACCTAGTGATTGTATATTATACTTCTACATTGGAGAATGTTTTTGTGCAGTGTATTCAAATCTGGTTTCTATATCCAGAGATGCGGTTGCAGCTCAGAGTTTGACACTGTCATTTTTATGAACTATCTCCTGTTTCAATGTTGTGTAAAAATTGTTCTCCATCATCTTCTGATTGGTTACTAAAGAGCTGAGCAGCCAATAGCTGAGCAGGAGAATTAAGGCGGGGCTTCTGATCCCAGTGAAGGAGGTCCCAGGTGAGAGAGAGAGAGAGAGAGAGAAGGAGACAGGGAGGGGGAGGGAGAGGAAGAGAGAAAGGAAGAGAGGTAGGCTGAAGTCTAAGACATCAGGTAACAGGTCACATAGCTGGGAGTAGACCAGGCCAGAATTGTTGGGTTAGAATAGCTGAGAATCTGCCCAGTATGGTGCCTAAATCTTTTAATAAAAACAATAGGTCTCCGTGTCATTATTTGAAACTAGGGCGGGCACAGGAAAAAAGAAAACTTAATTTTACACCTCCGTCAATCCTGTATAACTTTTGGCACTTACCCCTACTGTCATTACACCATCTCTGCTAGCCCCAGTACAATCTTCAATGAACAGAAATTTGTTCTTGTGGTGCTATAGGACAGAGGTTGGATACTGGTCTCCCTGAGCTAATATTAAAATGCCAACAGAATCATCCCTAAGAGAGAATGCTTCCCTGCCTTTTCCATGTTTTACAGGCCACCTACATTCTTTACCTATGGCTCCTTCCTCTATAAAAACTAAAATAAGCCAACAAGTCTTTCTTACATGGCATTCCTCTGACCTCTTTTACTTCCTTCTTCCATTTTTAATGACCTTATGATTTTACGTAGCCCACCCAAATAATTCAGGATAGTCTCCCCTTGTTAAGACTTTTCACATAAGCATTTCTAAATTTTATTTATTACCGTTTATTCACTTTGTATCCCAGCTTAGTCACCTCCCTCATCCCCTAATTCCACCTCCCTCTTTTCCCCCATGCCCCTCCCCAAGTCCACTGATAGGGGAGGTCCTCCTCCCCTTCCCTCTGACCCTAACCTATCAAGTATCATCAGGACTGGCTGCATTGTTTTCCTCCATGGCCTGGTAAGGCTGCTTCCCCCTTAGGGGGAGGTGATAAAAGAGCCAGCCACTGAGTTCATATCAGAGACAGTCCCTGTTCCCTTTACTAGCGAACCCACTTGGAGCCTGAGCTGCTGTGGGCTACATCTGTGCAGGGGTCCTAGTTTATCTCCATGCATGGTCCTTGTTTAAGAGTATCAGTCTCAGAAAAGACCCCTGTGCCCAGATTTTTTGGTTCTGTTGCTCTCCTTGTGGAGCTCCTGTCCCCTCCAGTGTTTCTATCTACTGTTTCTTTCATAAGATTCCCTGCACTCTGCCTAAAGTTTGGCTATGAGTTTCAACATCTGCTTTGATACCCTGCTGGGTAGAGCCTTTTGGAGGCCCTCTGTGGTAGGTTCCTGTCCTGTTCCCTATGTTCTACCTCTTCCAATGTCCATCTCGTTTGCCTTTCTGAATGAAGATCTTACCCAGGGTCGTCCTTCTTGCTTAGCTTCTTTAGGTATACAGATTTTAGTATATTTATCCTATATTATATGTCTAATACCCACTTATAAGTGAGTATATACCATGTGTGTCTTTCTACTTCTAACATAAGCATTTTTGAGAGAGTTTCAAGACTGTAAACCAGGCTGGTCTTAAAACTGCAATACTCCTGCCTCAGCCTCCCAAATGCTGAGATTCTTAACTACATTTTAATTTACTATATCTATAATGCACCAAATTTTCATGCTTCTAACAACCCATATATTAAAATCTTCTGGTGGCACTATTCTACCTTTTAAGTTAGCCCTGTGTAGAAGAAATCAGAATTTACCAGCCCACAGTTAATTTTGTCAGAGGGAGGACACTAATTATTCAAAAGTGTAAACAATGGAAACACATTTTACCAATTTTACAGGTATTACACTCTGAAATTGAACCAGAATTAGCTAGCTATATTGAAACAGAGGAAAATCTTGGGATTAAAAACAATGAAACGAGACAGTACACATATAAACCCATCTGAGATAGGGCCTTCCACATACTGAGAAAAGCTTTCCCACTGAGCTGTATCCCCAACCCAAGTCTGCTGACTGTTAGAATATAAACAGAAACTACAAAGGCAAACCCTGTACAAATCTTACCACACACTGCTCTACTGGAGAATCCAGGAACCACACCTACTGGACAGCAGCTACAGCCTACGTATACTAAGCTGTTACAGTAACTTCAACTCAGACGGGTGGCTGGAAGGACTGCATTTGAGCATACTGTGAGTTTTATGACCTATAAAACAAAGGACCCACAGACTTATTATACACGTGTCTGTCGTAAAAAAGCAAAACTCTTGGGCCAGCAAAATGGCTCAGTGAGTAAAGACACTGCCTCCAAGCCTGATGACTACGTTTGTCGCTGAAACCCACACAGCTGAGGGAGAGCCAACTCCTAAAATCTGTCCTCAAGCCCCATGTGTGCCTCAGAATGCACACACACGGCCACATGCAAGCAAACACACACACACATGCACTATGCACACAGAACACGTACACAGATAAATGTAATCTTAAACATTTTTAAATATTTATTAAAAAAAATAAAATTCTCGTTTTTGAAAAGCCCAAACTGGAACTAGCACTACACGTCCAAGGTTCCTTGAGACTCCCCAAGCATTTTTCTCAATTTAGCTTTATATCTTTTCTGACTCAAGGACAGGAGGGCAATGTTTGATGTACTCAAGTCATACCCAGCATGTACCAACTCTTTGATTCGAGTTTTTAAAGTACTTATGCTTAAGTCTAAAACTCTCGCATTTTTAATTATTTGTGAAATGCTGATTTTTTCTTCCATAAGGCAGTCTATTTTATCATTAAACTTTTTCTCTGACAAGAAGACCACATTCAGAGAGCTGAGGACAAACTTCTGCACCTCCTCCTCAGTGCATCCAAGAGAGAGCAGCTTCTCTTTGATATTTGTGTAGTTTTTTTTGGTGCATTCATTGGAAAGGTCTAGGATCTTAGCTCCTGGGCCACAGATCAGAAGCAGCAGATCTTCTTTGTCTAAGTTAAACGCTGACTGTAAAAATTCAATGTTAGCTTTCACCCGTTTGGTGCTCTGAATTAAGATGGAAGGATTTTTAGAAATTATCATCCTGACAAAATCTGGGGGATTGTTGTGACCTAAGGACGTACTGGTCTTCTGCAAAAATTCAACCATTTGCTTATTCAAACCCAGACTATTGGAAAAGGCTCTAGGAGCTCTGGTCAACAGTCGGCAGAGGCATTTAGGAGTCAATCCAACTGAGCTAAGGAACTTTATATTATTCTCTAAGTCTAGGTTGTTATTAGACCGAAAAAAGGATTCAGGAGAACGCTCCAAAATATTTATAATTTCAAGGTCTGATGCCATAATCTTTCTCCACAGATCCCACCGTCTGGAAAGACTTTCATGAGTGCGTGTTATGGCTCGTGGGTATCTTGAGATGATGCTACCAATCACTCTGTCACTAGCTCCTTTGGATAGAAGGAATATCTTCAGCTCCTGCTCATTCGTGACCATCCTGTTAAACACTCCAGGCTGTCGTCTCCTTGCCAAGTCAATATCAACTCCCATGGTGAGTAGGTTGTTCAGCCGGTCCTCGTTCTCCAGAGGCGTTCTCTCTTTACTGTCACTGTCACATTTCACACTAAAAGGCCTAAACAGAATCAATTTGAGGAAACGTTCCGCTGAATATTGCAGCGTCCAACCTCCTGAACTAAAGACAAAGTTCCTTCTCACACACCAGATGTTTCTTGATGCCATAATCATCGGATAGCCCAAAGTTTTTGCTGTGTGAAATAACATATAATGTTAAACTATGAATGCCTGTGTTAATATACCAATGACAATATTATGATCCTTTAAACTGGGGCCTTTCTAGAAGCAAACACCCATCCCTCCAGCTTTCTTGGTGCTGCACTCAACCCCTGCCTTACTGCTTCTCCTGGATACCTACAGACTTAGGGCTTTATCACTTTCAACATAAAGAGATGCAAAATAGCACCACTACCACCCTAAAACTGTCCTGACCTTTCATTGTTTTTATTTCACTGTGCCTGTTTGACTAGAGAATGAGGTCGCCTCTCCATCTCCCTCTCTTCAGATTTCTTTGGTTTCTGGCATTTCTGTTTTTTTCCTAATAAATGGCACTTTCACTACCATCCTGCCTTTCAAGTTTGCCAGATGTCTGAAATGACCCTGCCCAGGAACATTTCTGGTCACCTTGATCTCAAATTCTAAATGTAGCCCTCAAAAACATATCAGATTGTCTAATTTCCATCTGTAGTGTCTTTTTTTTTTTAAAATAATACCCTTTAAACGGATTACATTGAATATATATATGCTTATAGAAATCTCTGGATGACGGCCGCCAAAATCAATCTCTAAACTAATTTCCATCTTCAAAATGACAAAGTCAATGGAATGGAGTGTAACTCACTAGTAGATCAGTGGTGTGGCATATACTTAGCAAACATGAGGCCTAATCCCCAACCCCAGAAAGGAGAAAGGGGAATTAGTTTTCTAATTAAGGACTGTTAGGTCTTAAACCTGGGACAAGTGGCTAACTGAAGCATCCATTTAACATATCAAAGCTGACCTGGCTGTTAGATTCTCCCATCATCCCTCCGTCCCTACCTGATACAGGGTCCTCCTGGCCGGTATATCCCACCCCTACCCTGAACTCTCTAGCCCAGGGGCTGGGCTGCCCTTCCTCCAGCTGCGCTTTTTTTTTTTTTTTTTTTTTTTTTTTGCCTTTTGGCCTCTTGGCCTCTTGGCACCACTCAAGGTTCCCCTCTCTTTCTCTTTCCTTCTCTCTCCTCACATGACCTGGCTCAGCCTGCCAGTTATGTCTACTCTACATTCTTCCAGACACCTCTGGCTGTTTTCTCCCTCATATCTATAATAAACCTTCTCCTCCACCATACCTAGGAACAGTAATCTCCTCCTTTCATTTTTTTTTACATTCAAGGGTGTGGCCCCTAGTAGAACAAACACTCCATGATAGTCATATAACCAAAGGAATATAAGCAACATTAACTGAACTCAATGGCTTTGAGAGAGACAGTGAGAGAGAACACAAAGTTGAATGGTTAAGGAATGATGTGGATCTAGAAGTCTGTGGAGGAAGTGATTTAACCAAAATATACTATATTAAATTCTCATGTAACTAATAAAAATACATATCTTAAAAAAAAAAAAAGGCTCTAGCTTGTACAGTCCAACCTTTTCCCTTGCAGACACTCATGGGTGACCTCTGCTGGATAACAGGACTATATACTATCAGCTTAAAATCAGACAAGTTTTATAAAGAGCCTTATAAATAAGCATGCAAAAATGATCCAATATGAGGAAAGAACAGTATAATTCTTAAACTATACTTGCCTTGTCCTGTGAAAATTTCTACTTTTCCTACATTTCATAATATATGTCACTGAATGATATGTACATTAAAAAAAAAATCAGTCACTACCTATACAAAAACTAAGCCTTCAGTTTGAAGATTACTACCCTGGACAGGGCATTCTCTTTAGATGATTAAACAGATTAACATTCCACATAATACAAGAGAAATACCAAGACTCCTAACAAAAAGGTTTAAAAAAAAATCTATTAAGGTTTCTGTTAGATCTATCACAAGCAGATTTGTTTCTCTTTATAGAACATAGCTTCCAAGTAAGTATCTTCTAAATGAATCAACACGCCCAAAACTGAACTGAGCATCTGTGAAGCCCCCAAACCAGCCCTCCTCTGAGGGAGTCATTTGAGATAAGCATCCATGAAGGCTTCCCTTTTTTTCCTTCTTCCTTATCCACTCAACTTTACTCAAAAACAGTAACAAAGAAATCTTATTCTGAACATCCTTGCCATTCTAGTCTCCTTGTCTTTGCTGTCTTTTCATTATTTTTAATTGACATTCAAATAATGGACTTTGTTCCTATAAGTGTATATGAACATATATATATACACATATATGTATGTACATATATATGTATAATTACATATATAAATACATATATATATGTATAATTCTATATTGGAAACACGTCCTATTATTTTTCCTCTTAATTCCCTTGTTCCCTGTCCCCTTCTTGTTAGACCTCTTCCTCCTGAGAGTTCTTACTACTTTCATATCAAACTCACACACACACACATCTTTCTGAATTTCACTTATTTTGTTAAACTGTCTTTTCTTTCAAGAAGGTTTTGTTTTGTTTTGTTTTTATCCCAGATGTATGGCAAGGTCTTGTATAAACACAAACTCCTTTTAAAAACAGACTGTTGAGCTGAATTTGTAACCTCTGGCAATAGGACTGAGTAACCTAATGCATTTTTTTTTAAAGTAACTATCGAATGATTGACTTCAAACTTCCTCTAAAAACAAACCATTTTCTTAAGGTATGTTAAATTTCAAGACTATCATGAAAATCTCGGGGACTGTCACTAGTGAGGTCTAAAGAGAAAGACTCGTGTCCCCTTCTGTCCCACAGTTGGGACAGCTAACGTGCTTTTAAAGAAAATAGTTGGGTGTACCACAATTCAGCTAATCTTTTGACACAGCATTTAAGCGTAGAGATTTTTACAGAATGACATTTCCACATTGTACTTGTCGTAAGATAAGAGACTTTGGATCTCTCCAGAAAAGGTAAGAATGTTTCTACCAACACACCTCCAATCCAGAAAAGAAAAAGACAAAATATCGCCAGTGTAGTAGAGAATAAAGAGGTTCAGCCTAGACACCTCCGCATCATTTTTGTGAGATGTACTACCTCTCGCAAACTAAACATTTCTCAGTCAAAATGAAAATAAAACGGCCCACCTCCACCATGCTGGGGGAAAGGAAGCGGAATCACAAATGTATTTTAACACCGGAACTCAACGTTTCATATACACTTTTTTTTCTTAATACACCACATACACAATAACGTAATGGGCGGGCACTGTGCCAAAAGTTACAAATTCCGACAGAATGCCGCGCTCCTTTACTATCTTAAGTGTAGAGTGCAAACCACTGTACCCCCCGGGTCCCCAGGGCAATTCTGCAAAGGCCTTTAGCAATGGCACTGTCTAGCTGGGACATGAGACCCGCTTAAGAACACGACAGCAGATCCCCAACCTCACCCCGAACCGTACTTTACACTCGCGTTCTGCATCAAAGTTCGTAGTAGATACCTCTTACTTCCGCCTCTAGAAGCACAGAAGCAATAGGAGGGCGGAAGTAGAGACTAACTTCCGGCCTCCTGCCGGGCGCAGCGTTGACGTCATCGGCTCTGCGCCGCCCCCAGGCGGTGGTGCCTAAATCCTCTCTAGTCTGACCGCGGGAGCCCAGTAGAGGGCGGCAAGAGACCGTTGTGGATGCCGTAATGGCCTGTGTGCGTGGTTCCTGAATGCTCTTGCTGGGGCTGAATATCCTGTCTGTACCAAGGAACAGGTCTGGTTTTGAGCTCCCTCTCCCTCTTAGATTGCTTTATAAACTTTTTATAAACTATTTTTTTTTGCAGATTCTTTTGCATTTTTCTGATTACTTTGGTGTAATAATAAAGAATTTAAATTATTAATAATCAGTTTACCTGGAAAATGAAACTATTGACCGCAGTTCTTTCAAGCTTTAGGGGTAGGACTTGAAAAATATTCCTTGCCTGTGTTTATTTCTTCAGTGGACATTTACTGAGCACCTGTCCACCTCAGGCCTGTTTCACATTCATGAATCTAGGGGAAAGCAATACACAACTTCTGCCTTCTAGACCTTAATTCCAGTGGTCTCACTTCTGCCTAAATAATCTTTCCTTGGCATGCCCCACACATTTCTCTTACAAACGCCAGGAGCTGGCTTAAGCTACGTCGTTGAAGAAAAAATGTGGCCGAGATATTAAAAATTTTGGAAGATAGGAAGACCAAAGGAGGGACTGAAAAGTGAGGAGCAAACGAGTAAAACCAGAACTAGAAAGAATACTATAGAGTTTTTCCAAGACATTGTTCTGGAGTTCTCATCTTGGGTTGTTTGTTTGATTTTTTTTTTTATGATGATTAAGTCAACATTGAATCAAATTTGTGTTACTATGCAAATCTCTCTCTTTTACAGTTTCTTTTCTGAAGAGATGATGACACAATGATGCTTGTGATTTTAAAGGACTTCACTTGAAAGAATAGGGAAGTTTACATCAAGACAAATCCCACCCTAAATTAGACTTAAAACACACCAGTATTAGACTGAATGTTAAGTTCAAATGCCAAGTCTGTGCTATTTTTAGAATTGCATCTGCCCTGTTATAACCAAGGTTAATAGTAATGATATAATAACAATAACAATAATTAATGAGAAGTATGCCTGCCTGGCTAGATTTTCCTTGGGAAGTTCACAGACCCTTACTTTACCACTTATGTTTGACTCAACAAAACCAATTAGAGTCAAGGAGGAATTAGCCCTCTATTCCTCTAAGAGAACCCCCAGTTAAAGGACCACCATTCATAGACTCTGGGATTCAATCAAAAAATTCATTTCTACCTCCCCCTCAATTACACAAATCTTCCAACTTCCTGCAGTTTCACTCAAGGTCGCTGTCTTGTTAGGATTGCTATTGCTGTGATGAAACACCATGATGAAAGCAACTTGGCGGCGGCTGGGGGCCGGTATTCAGCTTATGCTTCCATGTCACAGTTCATCATCAAAGGAAGTCAGGACAGGAACTCAGAGCAGGAACCTGGAGCCAGGAGTTGATGCAGAGGCCATGGAGGAGTGCTGCTTCCTGGCTTGCTTTTCATAGCTTGCTCAGCCTGCTTTCTTATAGAAATCAGGAACTCCAACCCAGAGATGGCAGCACCCACATTGCGCCCGGCCTTCCCCCATCAATCACTAATTGAGAAAATGCTGGACTTTTCTACAGCTGGATCTTATGGAGACATTTTCCCTAATCATCCCTCCTTTCTGATGACTGTCATGTGTCAAACTGACATAAATCTAGCTAGTACAGTCATCAAGGGAACTTCAGTCTCTACCAGGAAGGTTCTTGACTCCTGCCCATGGCTGTCTTGTTTGCATATGAAAACTCTGGTTGTTACCCAGAGAGCTTAAAGTAACTCACATATTGCACAGTAACAAAGATGCTACCTCAATTTCTTTCCCTTTGAAAACAGTTACTTTCTGATGACCTCACAGTCCTAAAGATTTGCTCCCTTTGAAAATCTTTTGATTTCCTTTGAAAAACAGTTGCTTTCTAATGATCTTACAGTCCTGAAGATTTACTCCAGGCAACTCACTCTCTCTGAAAAGTGCCTAACTAGAGTCTAGAAAGGTTCCTTGAGTCAGATTTCCTATTATAGCAAAGCCTTTGGCAAAGAACTGGATATTGGCTTAGGAAACTTGCTGACTGCAGACCTGAAGGGATCCTGGATTTTCATGGGAGTTAGGCTGACAACATAAGCAGGACAGATTTGGCCAAGAGAAACAGAATAATCTTTGAAATCCTATTCAACCATATGAGTTTAAATGCCTGTAGGATGCTTTGATACTACAGAACTATGCCTTTAATCAATTTCAATCTTATTGGAGAATTTATCTCAACAGAGAATTGGGAAGCAAGTACTCAGAGAGGGGCATCTTCCTTCTTCAGAATTCCATCCTTAAAGATGTATTCCTCACTCTTATAGTACAGTAGTTTTAAAATTCAATGTTTTAAAAGATGAAACATTAAGCTATTGGTGGGAAATTTTCCTTTAAAAAAACAACCAAACAAACAAAAAAAAAAACACATATAGTTATTATTATCTAAAGCTTGCAAGCTCATTTGTATATTATTTTCTCCATTCTTTCTTCCTGTTTTTAATATTTTACTATTTTATCCCCCTTCCGTGTGTGTGTGTGTGTGTGTGTGTGTGTGTGTATCTGTGTCTTTACACATGTGTGCATGCTAGTACCTTTGGCGGCCAGAAGAGGGCAACATATCTCTGAAATCTTCCCAAACCTTCTTTCACATTTCTGTATAAATAGGAATACTCATTCCCATTTCTGTATTTCTGAGCATGTTGTTCATTGTAACTCTAAAGTCATTCTGTCTGTTTTTAAATGACTTTAGTAGATATATGTCTGTCTCCTTGCTGTTAAACAGCAATTTCTTGTAGACTCTGTGGAATCCAATGGAATCCAATTACCAGTTGTTTTCTCTTCCTCTGGCTGTGCTAACTACACATGACCCTAGTGCACACAAAACCCAGAATAACTGAGTCTTCCACTAAAGTAATTTACATCTAAAAGCATCAAAGAAAAATACTTACAAAGTTTACGTGTGTGTGTGTGTGTGTGTGTGCGCGTGTGTGATCAAAGCACCTTCATTTGCATTGTTAAATTGACTGGCTCACATTTTCTTTTTTCTGAATGGTCCCCAGAACTTCTGACTCTACTATTTTTTGTCCTAGTTCATCTATGTTCTGTCCTGTGTCCACACTGACATCTCTAACATCAGCATGAGTCTCAACAAAGTAATTTTTCATCTATATCCCTAAATTGTTGAAATAGTGAGGAATGCCTACCTATGGCAAAACCTATTTTGCCAATAAGGGGGTTTTTTATTCTGTTTTTCAGAGAAGGTAGACATAAAGGGCTTAAATAATTAGTCTTACATCATATAGCTAAAGTGTAAGCAGATACTACACCCTTACTATCTGAAACCAGAGTCTCAGCCCAGAACCGAACTCTGCTAATCTCTAGAGCGCTTAATACAATGCCTTCCCTGGTGAGTGCATAGAAATTTTAGTTAGAGTAAAATAGATCTGCATTTTTTTTGAGAATTCATAAATATGTTAAACCCCAGAATCGTGAGGAGAAAAGACCAAATCCACAACTTTTCAATTAAAGCAAGCTGTATTTTGAGGAACACCCAGGGCTGGCCAGCCAGCTGCCTCACCCTAAATCTGAATTTGAAAGAACAGCCCTTTCCAACCTCTTGAAGTCTCTTTTAGAGGAGAGATACAGTGTTACGTGGGTGAGAGAGTTGGCTGTTATACATTGTTAGAATGATACAATGAAAGGGAAGGAACAAAAATGGGGTTTGGTGTAGGATGAAAAACATGTTTTGCAGTTTAGAAATTTTGCAGATCAGACAGGAACTTACTCTTAATTACAAATGAAAACTTCAAGTTGCAATGATTTAACACAGCACAAGCAGGAATTTATTCTTTAACCAAACAGAAACCTTAATCTGCAAAGGACAAACAAACTTCTTAATTACAAATAGAAACTTAACTTACAAGGACTTAACACAGGACAAACAGGACTTTTTGACTGTCGGAACTGCAAACAGAACCCTTAACCTGCAAGGTTTATTTTTTTCTGTTTTGGTCTCCCATTAACTTGAAAGGTACATAGTTCCTGTTTTGGCCTCACAATATTCAAGTCTAATATATCTAATTAACATTTTCCTGGATATCTGCAGCTTTCTTTTTTCCAATATTAAGTAATGTATTGATTTAAAAAAAAAAGATTTATTTATTTATCATTCATGCAATATCCTGCCTGCATGTCAGAAGAAGGCACCAGACCTCATTATAGATGGTTGTGAGCCACCATGTGGTTGCTGGGAATTGAACTCAGGACCTTCAGAAGAACAGCCAGTACTCTTAACCTCTGAGCCATCTCTCCAGCCCAATGTATTGATTCTAATACTCTGTTTATTCATTTTGCATTTAACCATTAGTTGCCATTCAATACTTACGCATCAACTGTGTGGTCATGAGAGAAGAAATGAAACACGAGAAATAGCCCCTCTCTTTAACGTGTCTAGTGAGTTATAGTTCAAACACAGGATTATATCAAATCATATCCAAGGGCACTTTCAGTTCTAAAACTCTGAAATTCTGTCCAATGGGAACTTCTGTCTCTGAGCAGAAGTAGTGTGGTTATTTCTCAAGAAAATGGCTTATTTTTCCTCCTATCCGGTGGACTCAAATCAATGCAAATGTATATATATATATATATATATATATATATATATATATATATATATATTCTGGTAAGTTTTAAGCTTCCTTGCTGACTGTTGGAAGTGGAAAGTAGGTGCCACTTACCAGCCACAACCAAGAGGATGTAGATCCAGCCAGAACAAAACAGAGTTCGCTTCAGCACCACCACCACCACGAGATGGATGCTTAGCCTTGTCACCTCTGGCTCACATCACGCAGATCTCAAGCCTCGCTGCGAA